TAGGGGCCATAGTCTCAGTGGCTCCATCAGGTTCTATCAGACCAGCAAACCTGGTCCCCTTTTTTTTTAAAAAGTGATTTTGAGTTTTGTTCCACATTGTTCTTCCACTCTATTCAGGATCTCCTACATAGATCCCTGTCTGAGTGGTTGACAGTGGTAGCCGGGCATTACCTATAAACAACTATACTCTTTAAGATTTGTGTACTTTATTATATGAATTTATACATTATTATTTTTTTTTAATTTCATATATAGAACCTTGAATGTCTCAAGTGAATAAAATTATGGGGTTTGTCTTACCAGATATCAGGACTTATAAAACTATTTAAGACATCACACTGCTAGCAGAGAATAGACAAAGTGTCCAATGGGGCAGAAGCAGATCCATGCATACCTGGGACCTTGATTTATAAGACATGTAGCTCTGCAGAACATTGAAGAAAGGATGGATTTTACAGTAGATGATGCTGAGACTGTTGGTTATCATAAGAAAAAAATTAAAATAAAATTAGTTTCCCATATGGGAAAAAAGGAAAAGAATCTCTGTCTTCCACTGCACAAAAACCAACTCCAAAATGACTAAAAACTGAAATATGAGAGGAAAAAAATTAAAACTGTAGGAAGACAAAGAAAATATCTTTATGTCCTTGAGTAGACAATGATTTCTTAAGGCACAGAAGCACAAATTATAAAGGAAATTATTGATAAGTTTGACTTCATTAAAATAAATAATGTCTCTTCATACACACACACAACTCCACAAATAAACAAAATGACAAACCGTTTGTGTGGGTGAATACATTGATAATACAATTACTTGCAAAGGATTAGTACCAGAATGTTACCAACAAAGCAAAACAAAACAAAAAATCCCGAAAACAAAACTCCTATAAGTCAGCCACAATTGACAGACACAATAGAAAATTGGGTGAAAGAGATTAGTAGATATTTTTCAGAAGAGGAAATGGAAAGTAAACATGAAAGGATGCCCTACCTTATAAGTCACAGAAATGCAAATTAGGCCAAATAAGATAAATTTTATACCCACTCAATTGACAAAACTTAAATATCTCATGACACCTGTCATTGAAAGGAAAGGATCAGTGGGACTCACATACTGTAGGTGGAAATATAAACTGGCACAACCACTGTGGTACAGAGTTGATTGTTTGCATGTGTATAGGCCAGGAATTTCACTTCTAGAGAAAGTCTTGCACATGAGCATCAGAAAACATATACAATTTACAAGAATGTGATTGTAGCCGTTTTTTAGAAATAGCAAAACAGCAACAACCTGGAAACTAACCAAATATTCATGGACAGAAAAGGGGATGCATAATTTGTACTGTTCTCTGAGAACAGACTATCAAATGTAGTGAATAAATGAATGCAGGAACATGACTGAATTTTAGAAGCATAAAATTGAGTATAAAAAAGCAAAGCACAAATGATTTACAATAGCATAATGCCATTTTATAAAGCTCAAAAACAAGTAATGTGAAACAACTTAATTGTTTGGGGTTACATACCTATGTGAAGCACGTAAGCTATGGGGGAGCACGGAGAGATGGGCTAGAGAGGGAACACAGGTGGAAGGAACCGTATCTCTAGTCCTCAAGTGTGGTGGTGAGTTCATAGGAATTTCTTTTATTATTGTGCCTCATATTTTAATATGTGTTACAGATATTTTTTTTATATTATCAGATTCCTAAACATTTTAAAAGAAAATCTACAAAAGTATGTATTTCCTTTTTCAACCCAGTAAAGTGTCTTTTGAAGGTAGTGTGCTTTAATCTCATGACAGCCTTTCTTAGAATAATAGTGGAAAAAAAGAAAAGTCAGTCTATGAAGGGCCTAGAAGGCAATGTGATTCAGGTTTGTAACGAGGTCTGGATTCATTCAGGAAGAAGCCTAGCCTAGCTGGAACAATAGTTATTTAACATTGTGGGGGAGGCCCTTGACCAGCGGCTTTGAATTGAAAGCTGTGGATTCTCTCCCCAGCAAACATTTCCTATGTGCAGAACTGTTCTTTTAATTCCAGGGAGTGATAGTGAACCTGGTCTGCAAATAAGTTACTGAGCCTACTAATTTTATCTTTCGTGATTAACCTTTATTACTTTAGGAAATTTGTAACTAATGCTGAGGGTAAGAGGACAAAGCATTTCATCCAAAGTGCTACTTCTTTCCTTTAAATTCCCTTGTAAATTGATATAAATATCATAAAGTGGGATTATTGTAATTTTAATCTTTTTCCGTTTTGTATGTCACAGTGTAGTAGAATTTTGGCAAATTGTGGTCAGGACTCTCAGGTTTTAAGTTTTTAATTTGGCCAATTTACTGAGGCTCAAGTTCAGGGTTGACCCACTTTTGCCTGGGTCAAAACAACCAGGGCGTGGAGAAAATTAATTCTTTTTTTTTTTTTTCCCTTATAAGGTTTCCCAGCTGGCAAACTGTGTACTCACACCTGATACATAGAAAACCCATTGTTAGAAATATGAGTTTTTTCAAAATAAAATTTCGAAGTTGCAAAATGAATCTTTGAGTACTTAAGATCTCTCAGGTAGTTCCTTAGCTGAATGAGTAATGTAGCATGTCATTTGTTTATGGACACTTGATCATGTGAAGAGTGGTATCATGTTTTCTTTATCTGGCATTTGACAGCTGTTAACCAGTGAAATGAGAGATTAGATTCTGTGCACCTAAAAGCACATAGTAGATCCCTTCAAACAAAACCATGCTACCTTCTACGTAACCCAAGTATTAAATAGTTGGCAAGATGTGTAAGTGATGCTATTGAGAGTGATCTTTTCTTAATGAAGTATACAGTATGCATTTTTATAAGTCCAAGAAAATGATACCTACAAGATAAAAAATTACCACAGTAATATGTAAACTAGTCTGTGTATTGATCATAGTAGTATATAATCCATCAAATAATACTTTATAAAACTGGAAATGTATATTTTAAAATATTTCTAGTATTGACTCATTAATAATGCTTATTACATTATCAACTTTAACTTACTTATTATAGTGATTACCTGTTTTGTATCCAGCATTGTATTTTCATACTTTGTCTATTATGGTACTTTTCTTCCCCCTGATATTGGGTTAACAGGGAAAATATTTCTCAACTTGTAACTGTTCTCTTATTTGTTTTTCATTTCCATATTACTCTCATGATCACTTACTAGGGTACTAGTCATATTTTTATAACTATTATTGGTAAGGTACTATTGTTAAGATCAGTACTATAAGGAATAAGGCAATATGACATAGAGGTTAAGAGTATGGCCCCTGGAGTGAGAGTGAATGAGAAAATCCCCATTCAGCAAGTTACTAGCTATGTGACCTTGACAATTAACGTCTCTTCTCTGGCTTCCTTATTCTTAATTTTATTGTACCTAGTAAAAGGTAGGGAGTTCTGGTAGCATAGTGCCTAAAGCATTTGACTACTAACCAGAAGACTGGCAGTTCAAACTCACCAGCCACTCCTCAGAAGGAAGGTTGGGCAATCTACTTCTCTAGTGATACTGCCTTGGAAACCCAAGGAGGGGTCGCTATGAGTTTAATTGACTTGACGGCAGTGAGTTTGGTTGTGGTTTTTTTAGTAAAAGATAAATAAATGTTAACTATGTAATGGTAATAAGTATTACTATTATTTTTGGTTTAAGCATTTTGGTTTGTGAACTTAACATACTAGTACTTGTGTATATTTAGTTTATTCATTTGCAACATGGATTGTAACTCTCCATTCTAGGGTCAGAATGTCTATCTATGTGATAGCCCAATTCCTTTAAAAATCGTAATGACATCTGTTGTATAATATGAATAAAAATTTCAGAACCATATATCCATGCAACAACAAAGCATTTAAATTAAATGCACAGTGATGTATATTTGAGTGCCTACTGTATCAAAGCAATGCTGGTAATATACAAATATATAAAGTACAGTTCCTGTCCTCAAGTCCTATCAGTTTAACAAGAAGGATAGGGAAACAAGAGAGGAAATCTACTGTTTTAAGTAGCCAGCTGAATGGAGGGCAGGATATCAGAAGAAAGAAAAATCAGGCTGGATTAGTTAATAGATGAGAATGAACCAGAAAGCCCGTTTAAACATCTTAGGGCTCTAAGGGGAAATAAATTGGACTATACACTGAATTTTTGAGGTGATTAGAATATTTTCATATTTAGGGGTCCCTAATCAGGTTTGCAATCTACATTTATTTACTCTACATGACATTTCCATGTGTACTACTTATTAAAAGCTCAATGTGTAGCATACAAGTAGAGATATAAATATAATACTTATTTCAATAAGAGAGCCATAAGCAAAATAAAATCATTGTTAGCACAAAAAAAGGGAGAGGTTGTATTCTGCAGGAAAAATTACCAAAGACTTCATGCAAGAACATTTCAGTTGCACTTGCAAAGGATGAATATGATTTCAGGTGAAGTTTAGGAGCTTTGGTGGTGTGGATGCCCAATGCTAGATCAAGAAATCATTCATGAGCACAAATATGAGTGAGAACTATGCATGGTGTACTTAAGACACAGTGAAGATTCCAGTTGAGTAGGACTATAGACTATGTGTAAAAGTGGTAATTGGGAAATACATTTAGAGAGCTACATTGGTGCCCGGGAGCTCTGGTGGCATAGTGCCCAAGGCATTTGACTACTAACCAGAAGGCTGGCAGTTCAAACCCACCAGCCACACTCCTTGGAAGGAAAGTTGGGCAATCTACTTCCATAGTGATACTGCCTTGAAAACCCAAGGAGGGGTTGTTATGAGTCAGATCTGACTCGATGGCAATGGGGGACATTGGTGCCCTATGTGGGTACCCTTTGAATGCCTTTGATTTAATAAGTTATGAGAATACATAGAATATATTTTTTTACATAGACAGTGGTGATGGTAGTGATGGTAGGTTGATACTACTGGATTATGTATTAACTGCATTTGTATATTCATTGAATTCATGGTTTTGTCTCTTGCAGGAAGTTCATGATTTGTTACAAGACTATGAGTTAAAGTATTGTTATGTGGACAGAAATAAACGAACAGGTAGGATTTCAGTTCTAAGCATCTAATCTCATTTTGATTCCTACTTAAAGTCATTTTAGACAGAAAAAGATAGTATTTTCATACTTAGTCTCTGAGAAAGTATTCAATCATGTAAATGTTATTAAAATTGTTTTTCTGAAGGTAATATTAGTATACTAAATTTTAATCACTTAGATTAATATATTGTTCCCAGAGACATTGAATTTTTATAATTAATGAAGGTTCTTCATAGGCTTAATGACCCTCAAAGCTAATTTTGCTGTAGTGCTGGAAGATTTAGCTGTTCCTTTGTAGTAGTTTCCTTGCGTGTGGGACTGTGTTAAATGAAAAATATGTTTCTTTAAATGTTACCATCACTCTCAGTGTGGTGAGATGCTCACACTCTGAGAACTAAGTGGGCACTAAGACCAATTGAGAGAAGAGCAGATTGGGTGTAATGACAGGCAGAGCTGCCCAGGCTGTTTAAATTCTTTCTTCCTGTCTTGCTATATAAATATTTATCATATCGTTATAGTTGAATTTGGGAGAGTTAAATGCTTGTATGGCGCAACTCCACTCTATATTTAAACTTAAGAGATGGGGGAGGGAGAGAAAAGGGAAAGAAGGTCTGAGGGGACAGAAGAAGAGAGGGAGAAACTCAGAGACCTATTTGTTTGTAATTAGTGGATTTCCCTGTTACGTCTTTTATGGGAGACTTTAAGCATTTTTTGTAATATTACTCAAGATCTTTCTATTTTTTATTTTTATAACAATAGATAAACAAATTGAAGTGGCTAAATTTTAATTTTATCAGATATATAAATATATTTTGCATGATGTTTTATTGATTTCAAACTTTATTTTGTGTCATGTTTTAGATTTTACAAGTTGTATGTATTTATTGCTTGCTGCTGGAATAACTTTGTTAGGTAGACAAGAAAGATATTTTTATTATTTTTTTTGCTATACTTCCATTATTTTAGATCCTTGTTATTACTTCAGAGGCTACTGGGGAAAAAATGTGTCTCTGAATGAGGTTAGAAAATATTACTAAAATAAAAGGATGCTTTAAGATCTTACAGTGAAACTCAATATAGTTCCTATACTTTTTGAGTTACTGATCATGAAATTAGTTTTTTTTTTGGGGGGGGGAGAGCGTTGTCAACATTTAAAAAATACCCACGATGAAATAATATACCAGAGTGCATTGCACATAGTAAGGTTCAATAGTACTTCATGATTCTTTTATTTCAGAAATTTGTATATGTCGCAGATGTAAAATGTATTTCTTACTGTGAGTTATGGTCAAACGTTGAAAACACTGGCCTAGAAAACTCTTTAATTCGTTTTATTTTCTTCCAGCTTTTGTTACTTTATTGAATGGGGAACAAGCCCAGAATGCAATTCAGATGTTTCACCAATACTCCTTCCGAGGAAAAGATTTAGTGGTTCAGCTCCAGCCTACAGATGCTTTGCTGTGTATTACCAACTTGCCCATTTCTTTCACATTAGAGGAGTTTGAAGAACTTGTTCGTGCTTATGGAAATATTGAAAGGTGTTTTCTGGTCTACAGTGAAGTTACTGGCCATTCCAAGGGCTATGGCTTTGTGGAGTACATGAAAAAGGACTTTGCTGCAAAGGCTAGATTGGAGCTATTGGGTAAACAGTTGGGAGCATCAGCTCTCTTTGCACAATGGATGGATGTTAATCTATTGGCCTCAGAGCTCATTCATTCTAAGTGCCTTTGTATAGATAAACTCCCTAATGACTACAGGGATTCAGAGGAGCTGTTGAACTTTTTTTCCAGCATCCATAAACCTGTGTTTTGCCAGGTACGTATTTTTAAAATGTCATTAGAAATACTTAAAACTATTTGCATATATATCTGTTCTACATGTACTTACAGATTTATTTATCACAGCTCTATAAATATCACAATGAATAATTTAATTCTGCTGTAGTCTGTAGTGAAGACTTTAATCCATTGGGAAATTTTAAAGTGATTCCTCCTGTTGATGGGTCAGCCTATTTTGTTATACATTTAACTATGTCTTAGCATATTCATCGCTTACACGTTCACCTTCTCATTCCATCCATTCGTCTACCTGTTCATCCATTGACCCTTCCATCCACCAAGTTTTAGTTACCATCTTCTCTCTGCCAGACATTACACTGAGTGTCAGAAATGTCGAGATTAGAATAGATAGAGATAGAGAGCTTAGTTCCTCACAATTTCATAGGAGATAGTGATAAGTAAGCAAATAATTACAAATCTTGTATGATGCATGATGTAATGAAAGACAGAAAAGTAGTACAAGATTTAAAGGAATGTATGTGGCTGGGGTTGTGGTAGGTGAGGATTTAGAGAGGATCTTGAAACCTATCAACTTTTGTGGGAATTTTCAAACACTATAATAAATTCGGGGGGAGCTCTGGTAGCATAGTGGCTAAGACACTTGCCTGCTAACCAGACGGCTGGCGGTTCAAACCCACCAGCCACTCCTCGGAAGGAAGG